CCTGCTCGGCAGGGAGTCTGCTTCTCCCTCTGACCCTCCCCCCTCTCATGTGCTCTCTCTCTCTCTCTCTCTCTCTCAAATAAATAAATAAATAAATCTTTAAAAAAAAAAAAAGTTGCAATCCCCTTCCCCATCCCTGCCTCTCACACAAGCACACGTTACTGTACCTTCATGTTTAACACCTGCCTCTCCCTTGCTAGATTGAAGACCCCACAGAGTTGGGGAGTGGGGTCTGTCTTGTTCATTCTTTTATCCCCAGCCCTTGGAAGAGTGCCTGGCATATAACAGGTGCTCAGTAAAAGTTTGTTGAATGAATGAATGATACATTTGGAGACGTGGAGTATTCCAGCAGCAGCTGCTTCCTGGTGTCTGATCAGGCTACTGTTACTAAAACACGATTACAAAAGTAGCATCTGCAAGAATGTGTTGCCTGTGAACTGATGCTCTGGAGCAGCGTGGATGGGGAACTTCCTCACCGCCAGGGGCCACCTCCGGACATGATGGTGGGACCCGGGAGGGACCCGGCTCTGGACAGCTGTTCTAGCTGCATGGAGGGGAGGCCCCGCTCGCCCTCCTCACGGGCGTGTTTGTTTTGCCCCCCAACAGAATGTGCGCATCGACCCCAGTAGCCTGTCCTTCAACATGTGGAAGGAGATCCCCGTCCCCTTCTACCTGTCCATCTACTTCTTCGACATTGTCAACCCCGATGCCATCCTCCTGGGGGAGAAGCCGCAGGTGCAGGAGCGTGGACCCTATGTGTACAGGTGAGGACAGAGGGTGCTGGACTGGGTCTCCCAGGTGGGCCGTCTTAGCGGGCTCGGACCCCATTTTACAGATGAGGAAACCGAGGCCCCGAGCAGTGGAGGGGCTTGCTCAGGGTCAGTCTGCTTTCCCCAGTCTGGTGTTCTCGTGCTTGAGACTGTGCCCTCTGCAGAGTGACCTCCTGGGTTTAAACTGTGGCTTTCTGATTGCAGGCAAGGGGCGTTCCTTCCCCATGCCTCAGTTTCCCCATCTGTAAAATGGGGATGACAGTCTCCGCCTTGGGGTGGTTGTGAGGACTGGATGAGATAGCGGGAAGCCCTTAGCACAGTGCCTGGCCCGCAGTGAGCGCCCCGTAAACGTTTGTTACTAGCGTGTTATTACCACTGCGGCCACCACCTCTTCGCTGGATCGTGGTCTTTGGGAGAACGCGGCTTGTTGAATCTGCCGGAGCAGGTTTCCGAGAGGTGAGGGAGGACAGTTCTGGTAGAAGGCCCGATTCCCGGCTCCTGCCCATTCTGCCCTCGGGCACGGACCCTGTCACAGAATCGCCGTCCCTGCCAAGCTCGTCCGTGGAAGGCTTCTGTGTCAGAGCTGAGCCTGGCTTGCCAAAGTTTATATTTATTTCTTCATCCTGGAAGCATTTACTGAGCACCTCCTGTGGACTAGGCACCGTGCCAGACCCGAGCCCCTGCTCCACAGAGCTGACGTCTGATGGGAGAGAGTAAACTCTTAGACACATCAGGTGGCCATAAGTGTGGTGAGAGCAAGGAGGGTGAAGCATGGAGGGTGCTGGAGGGAGGGGCGTGGGCAGGGTTGGTCTAACTGGAGGGTCAGGGAGGACCTCTGCCAAGGGGGCACCCCCCTAAATGTGGGTGGTGAGAAGGGGGTGCCACTGTGTGAAGATGTGGGGGGAGGAGGGCCCCAGGCAGAGGTGGCAGCCGGTGCAAAGGCCCTGAGGCAGGCAGGGTCTGGGAGTCCGGGAAGGAGAAGGCCTGAGTGGCTAGCGTGGTATGAGTGAGGGGGAGATTGGCAGAGACGAGGCCCGAGCATTGGACGGGGTCGGGTGGTGAGGATCTCGGAGGCTACATTAGGAGCTTGATTTTATCCTGTATGCAAAGGAGGGTTGTCGGGGAGAGAAGGACATGATCTCATTTCTACTTTTCAAAGATTCTCTGGCTATGTTATGGAGAATGGATTGCAGACAAGAGGGAATAACGGCAGCAGCCACGAAAGGCCACTGGTACTCGCGTGCTGTCTTCCGTGCCTCGGGCCGCCCTTTGGTGGCTTGACATGCACTGACCCACTCAGGGCTCACCACAGCCCTGCGAAGTGGCTCTTGTTATCACCCCCATTTTATAGATGGGAGAACGGAGGCCCTGGTAGTAAGTGATGGAGACAGGATGGGAGCCCGGGCCCTCCGTCTCCAGAGTGCACATTCCGAACCACTGTGCTGTGCTGTCTCCCTAAGCAGGCGCATGCGCGGGGGAGGCTGCTGTGAAGGACGGTGGCGCCTGGCTGGGGGGAGGGGGTGTGTCGGGATTTGGGTGCTCTCTGCGGTAGCTCTGATGAACCTCACAGGGTCCTGCCTTGGGCCGAGGGCCCCACGGCTCTCGGTGGGCGCCCCGTCCCTGTGTGGCCGGGCCCCACTGACCACCGGCTTCCCGCCCGCAGGGAATTCAGGCATAAGAGCAACATCACCTTCAATGACAATGACACAGTGTCATTCCTCGAGTATCGCAGCTTCCAGTTCCAGCCCGACAAGTCCCATGGCCTGGAGAGCGACTATATCGTCATGCCCAACATCCTGGTCTTGGTAAGGCTGCCCCTGGCCGCGCCCCTTGTCCCAGCCCTCACCTTGCGCCCGAGGGCTTCCGTCTCTCTCGTCCTGCCTGCCCCCTGCGTGGGCCGCCCCGCGGTGGGGGGCACGGGGGGCAGCCGGCAGCTCATGGGACCCGACTCACAGCCCATCGAGTTTCCCAGGTGCATCCTCCTGTCTCTGGTTTGGGGGTACCGGCCAAAATTCTTGTCTTTCCCGTCTTAGTCTACAAATCTAGAATCTCCACAGGGAGGTACTAGTGGGGGGCTGCACAGGGCTCCCCCAGGCCACGTCCTCGTCTGCCCCATTTGCAGGCTGGGCCTCCGTGCTCTGTAGGTGGGGGTCATAGTTGTAGCTGGATTTACCAACTGTTGGCCCTGTGCGCCAGGGTCCCCAAGACCACCTCCAGGCTTGCTGACTCACTGGGAAGGCTCGCAGATGGTGTATTGTCCCACTCTTGGCTCTGATTTGTTACAGCAGAAGGGTGCAGAACCAAAAGCAGCAGAGGGAGAAGGCACATGGGGTGGAGGCCAGCCTCCAGCCTCCAGCGTCCTCTCCCAGGGGAGTCGCACAGGCACCCACCCCCAATTCACCCTGCAACAAGTCCTGATAGCACCTGGGAAGGTTTGTCACCACGGAAACCACTAGAGACTCCGTGCCCAGGGTTTTTTATTGGGGGCTGGTCACAGAGGCACCTTCTGCCTGGCATGTACCAAAATCCACCTCCCCAGAAGGAAGGCAGGTGGTCAGCATAAAGCATACTGTTCGTAGACGCAGTCCAGACACCGTGAGCCCTCCCTTATCACTCAAGGAGTGGTGGGAGCTCCCTCGAAACCCAAGCTCCCAGACGCAGGCTGAGGGTCAACCTTGCCAGCAGGCCTTTCTAGAGAGAGTGGCCTCAGGCCTGTTGTGTTAACTTTTTGCAAACACTGTGTGTCAGCACTTAGGGCTTATGGGCTTACACATATTACCTTGTTTACTTGTCAGTGACCCTGGGGCTGGTGCTGGGCTGGGCTCTGGATCCGAGGCGAACTCGCCTGCTGAGTCCATTGGATGGACAGGGCAGAAGAATAAATATGCCCTGAAACCTTACAGCTTCACCACCCGCCCCTGCGCGCCCCCCACCCCCACCCCAGGTACATCCTTAAGTTTTGGCAGTGAAGGCACTTGCCCCCACCGACCTGGTTGGCAAAGACCGCGTGATGATGCCCCAGGGGTCAGGAGCATTTGTGGAAACAGACGCTCTCCCATACCGTCGTGAGGAACAGAACTGGTATGAGCTGTTGGAAGGGGGTGACTTTAAATAGAAATTGCACATGCCTTGGACCTCACAAATTTCATTTGTAGGCATGTGTCCTCTTGATAGAACCACACACGTAAAAGATGCTTGCACGCAAGGATATTCATTGTCAGAGCAAACTTCTAGAAACAACCTAAATATTGTTCCATCATGTTTCATTGTGGTAATTTATGGCAGCCAGCCAGGGCCGGAGCAGTCCCTGAGGCCTAAGTGAGGGAGAGGCAAGGTGCAGAACGCACATACGGTGCCACACCTTATTACTTAAAAAGGAGAAATACTTGCACGCACACACCCACTTATACACACATGCTTTTTTATTTACATGTTTCGAGCAGGGTGGGCAGACTTCTTCTGTAAAGTAAGTATTTTAGGCTTTGAGGGCCACGTGATTTCTGTTGGAACTGCTGATGCAGAAGCAGCCAAAGGCAATATAAAGGAGGAGGCATGGAGATGTTCCAATGAAACTTTATTTCATATAATTTTCATGTTTTTTCAAATATTCTTCCCCCCGCAACTATTTGAAAATATTAAAAAAAAAAAACATTCTTAGCTCTCAGACTGTACAAAAATGGGTGGTGGGCTGGCTTTGGCCCATGGGCCATAGTTTGCTGGTCTCTGGTGTGGATGTCTCTGGAGGAAAGAACCCATAGCATTGGGTGGCCTTGAGGGAGAAGAATGGGAAGGAGACGGTCAGGGGTTGGAGAGGGACGTTTCTCCGATATTCTTTTGTGATTTTTTAAAAAATCATGTGTTTATTACCTTTCAAAAATGATTATAATGGCAAGGAGATCCTGGTGAGTTCCCAAGGAACCAGACCTCTTTGGCCCAGGTTTTAGGAAATGCTGGCTGTGTTCACTTTTCCACTTTTGGATGAGATGCCTTTAAAAAATAAACCAAGTGCCAAGACGGTATCTCCAGAGGAGAGCAGAAATTAGAAAATAAATTCACCTGCATTCTCAGCACCCAGTTATTGGGGAGAACAGATCTTTGGGACTCTTCGTGTTTGGGAAGGAGATATCAGGAAGTGGAGTCGAGTCTTAACATTAAGATTCTTTTGAATGCAAGGTGACAATAAAAGGTACTCCAAACTGGCATAAGCAAAAAGGGAACTTATGGGCTCACATTACTGAAAGGGCAGAGGTTGGCTCGTTTCAGGTGTGGCTTGATCTAGGGTGCAAATCGGGTTCCCTAGATCTGTGTTGGTGCCCTGCTCGGGCGGACCTCAGGGTGGCTACAGCCTTCAAGGAGGGCAGCAGGAAGCTCTCCTTTCTATCTGACAGCCCCAGGGGAATGTTTTCCGTTTCTTGGGGCTCTGATTGGGCCACATTACACATTCCGGAACCAATCACTGTAGCTGGAGGGAAGAACGTTTCTGATTGGCCAGGTCCCTGCCATGTGCCCGCCTCTGGGACTGGGGATGGAGTTAATTTCACCTGAAATCCACGAACACAGGTGATCCTGTTACTGAAGGATTAGGGACTGGTTCTGGATGCCCCAGACACCCTACATGCCCGCTGCAGGGACCTTCCTGAGCCGGAAGTTCATGTCCCCTGATGAACTCTACCTTGGGCCTGGCTTGAAGTCCAGGATGCATGGACCCATTGGTGTCTAGCCTGTAACATGTAGTGTCCCCTCACTCTGCAGGCTGCAGCGATGATGATGGAAAATAAGCCCATGAGCCTGAAGCTGATCATGACCTTGGCGTTCAGCACACTCGGGGAGCGCGCCTTCATGAACCGCACTGTAGGCGAGATCATGTGGGGTTACGAGGACCCCCTCATACACCTCATCAACAAGTACCTCCCAAACATGTTTCCATTCAAGGGCAAGTTTGGGCTATTTGCAGAGGTAAGCATGGCCCACAACAAGTTCGGGGCCTGTGTCTTGTTCTCCATCGATACAGCCTGGAAATGGGTTAGCAGCCTGGCTGGGGATCTGGGGGCGGTGGGTTGGAAATGGCAGAAAACCCAACTCAAACTGGCTTAAGAGGAATAGAGAATTTATTGGCTCATATACCTGAAAACTCTAGGCAGAGATGTGGGTGCAGCTTGATCCAGGCTCTGAGAATGTGATTGAGCTGAGTGTGGACAGTTGGGGGCTGCTGCTGGGAGAAGGGGGAGAGGCTGCTGGGGAGGCAAGTCACAGATGTTGACTATGACATTGCTCTGAGCTGCCTACTTTTTTCTTTCTTTAAAGATTTTATTTATTTATTTGAGAGAGAGAGAGTGAGAGAGAGAACACAAGCATGGGGAGCGGCAGAGGGAGAGGGAGAGGCCGACTCCCGGCTGAGCAGGGACCCTGATGCGGGGCTCGATCCCAGGACCCCGGGATCATGACCTGAGCCGAAGGCAGATGCTTAACCGACTGAGCCACCCAGGCACCCCTGCCTGCTTTTTTCTTGATCTTGACCCTGGGTCACCTGGCAGTAACTGGGCTCCTGAGCCGTGATCTGATGCAGAGTCTGACCCCTGACTGTGGCTTCCTCCACCAAAGGTTTTGACGAGCCCTCTGGGTTGCTCCAGCCTCGACCTCCCCTTTGGGCTCTGCTGATCTGTCTTGGGGGGAGGGGGAGGAAGACATTATGTTTCTGTACTTGGCACATGATAGACAGTCAATACCTTTTTAACCAGAATGACAGATTCTGAGTGTGTGGGTAAGTTGGCAAGTTTGGAGCAACACGATTCCTTTGAAAGCATCTTGTAAACTTGTAAACAAATGAATATTATTACAAAGTGAGTAGCATACCTATTATATATGTTTGACTGTGTATAATGGAAACCCTGAAATAACATTCCAGCAGTGGCTGTTCAGTGTTGATGTGGTGTCTTCCTATCCTTTAGGGATCCAGAATTCTTCTACTACCCTGGTCTGCCATCCTTATGGTGTGGTTTTCATATTCCAGATTACCACATGGCCCAAGATGGCTGCTAGAGCACCAGCTACCACATCCACCTCCCAGGAAGCACAAGTGGAAGGAAGAGTGGTTGGGGATGGAGAGGCAGGCAGGGGGGTTGAGGACAAAACAGCATGTCCTAGCTGTCTCCCTCCTTGGGAGGGAGAAAAACCAATTTCTACTTTCGTTTGGCCCAAGCTTAGTCAAGTGGCCACACCTAGCTGCAAAGGAAGCTGGGAAATGTAGCCTTTTAGCAGCTGTGCTGATGCCCTGAGTAAGGTTTGGGTTTTGTTATGAAGGAGGAAGGGGAGGATACTTTGGATACTAACTGGCCGTCTCTGATATACTTTGTCTGTAATGATTATTATTCTGGTGTCCTTTTGGGGGAGCCTTTATTAATAATAATGATAACGATAATAAAGACTAGCATTTGGAGTTCCTACTGTTTTTCAGGCACCACTTAACAGTGTTGACACATTCGCTTTTTCGTACCCCCAGTGTCTCCAGGCTCCTGTTACTCTCTCCTCATAATGGTTGAGGTCCCAGCTCATGAAGCTCAGAATGGACAGGTGACATGACACAGATATTAAGAGGCCAGAGCAGGGCTTTGGACCGGGCCCTACTCTGGAGCCTGTTTGCCTAACTAGTCAGTAATCAATTTAGCCATTCATCCGGGACACAACCCTATTGAGTTCTCAGCATGTTTTCCATTACTCAGCCTCCTCAGGGGGAACACAGTACTTCTAGATTTCGCCCCGCAGTTCGTATGCTTTGCGTGTCTTTGCTGTGAATTAGGCATCTGTCTCTAGGAAAGAACCTCAGAGTGCCAAAGCGTGGGGCTTCCGATCCAGACAATGCTCAGTAAGCATTGGGTCCTGTATGGGTTAGGATAGACCAGGTCATGCTGTGTAACAAGCAGCCCCGGAATGTCAGTGGCTTGAAACAGCGAGTTGATTCCTTGTTTGTATGCCATGTCAGTGTGGGTGACCAGTGGGCCTTCTGCTCTTTTTGGTCACTCAGGGACCCAGGCTGAGGGAGGCAGCAGCTTGATAAACACTTCCACGACCCCTATGGAGCGGCAGAAAGCACGGTGACTTGTGCATGCACTAGCTTCTAAAGCTTCCATCCGGAAGTGGCATGCCCCATCTGCTTCTTTTTCGTTGATTGGAGAGGTCACATGACCATACTTCATTTTCAGTTGGGGCGAGGGGGTCATTCTGCTGTTCATCTGGGAGGAGAAGCTGACTCTCCTTGAGTCAGGAAGGGAAGGTGGGACCCTTTCTAGGAGGGACGCTGTCATCAAGGGAGTGCCCCTTCTAGAAAGCCCTCCTCCTCTTGGTCCCCAGGCACTGCGGATGCAGCCGTGAACAAGGTATCGAGGCCCCTGTCCTCTGGGTGAAGCGGGGAGTGGCCTCTAAGTAAACGGGTGGGCCTTTGCCCCTGTCCTGAGGCTTAAAGATGCTGGTCTCTGTCGTTGTCCACAGCTGAACAACTCCGATTCTGGGCTCTTCACCGTGTTCACGGGGGTCAAAGACTTCAGCAGGATCCACCTCGTGAACAAGTGGAACGGACTCAGCAAGGTGAGGGCAAGGGCGGTGGCCCTCCTACATGGGGGCTGGGCAGGAGTGGTGGGGGGGGCCACCCGGGCTGCACACCTTGTCTCTCTTGCAACTCAGGACGGTGGTCACATCTGTGATGGAGAAGCTCTTGGAATCGGGGGTTCTACCTGTGGTCAAGGCTCAACTGGCTCTTGGTTCCTGATCGGTGGGTGGGGAATGGAAACTCTACTTATTTAGCACCTAGTGTATACCAGGAAGTGAGTGATTTCTTTCCTTTTGTTCTTAATTTACGAAAACACTTCAAAAATACTACACTGATGATATAACCACCCATTGCATTAAAAGATATTCCTGAGAAAAACAAAACAAAACAAAAACCACCCTAGAAACACAGGAAGACATTCACATAAAAAAACAATAGAGACAGATCTCAAGTGCCCTTTGCACCACCTCCCACGCCAGCCCCCCTGGTCCTTGGAGCGCAGAGGGCACCCACGGTGGGCAGTGTCGCTATGGCCTTCCTGTCCACTTCTGTCCACTCCACGCCCATGTGTGTGCATAGAAACATGGTGGGTTTGCTGCTGCTTTGAAACGATGAAATCATGTTACGTGCGTGGTTCTGCAGCCTGCTTTTTTCCACCTTAGTTGCTTTTTCTCGTTGTGCTTGCACCGGAGTGAGCTGTGCATGGGGCTGCTCACACCTCCCCAGTGCTCACCATGGTGACCGCTGCCAAGACCTGGGCTCTGGGGCCCAGTGACACCCCCATCCGTGCTCAGGGTGGCCACATCCCCATTTGCAGCCGGCAGTAACCATTCCCAGTGGAGACTCTCTGACTTCCCTGGCTTGTTCTTTAACTGCACAAATACACTTGTGCACATAACAGAACTCGCTCCGATGGCCCGGCGGGGGGTGGGGGGGAGGGGTGGCACAGAAAGGGAGAAGTCCGTGTTTTCTTATGATTTTAAATAGTTTATTTCCCATGCCGCCTCCTCCCTTTAACTGTTTTTAGGAAGTGTCTGCTGACTTCCTCTCTGAGAGATGAGGATGCTAGTGTTCCACCTCCTTCCTCCCCTGCTCACAGTGTCCCTTGGCGGTGGGGGTGATTTTGCAGACGAAGTCACTGGGTGCCCAGCAAACCTGCACGCTCAGGGATCCTCGTCAGCGAGTGGGCAGCTGTCGTCGATGCTCTCTGGCTGTCCAGGTGCCCTGCCCGCTCACCTCCCACCCTGCCGGGCCATCTCTCTGAGGGGACTGGCTTCTGGAGCTGAGTGGTGGCATTCAGCCTGGGGGCCCCGGCCCATGCAGTCGCCACCCCAAGCTGGGTGTACAGCACCCGAGAGGGCATTTCTGAGAGCCGTTGCTGAACTAAAGGCCGGGTCCGAATGCTTCCCCGCAGGTCAAGTTTTGGCATTCTGATCAGTGCAACATGATCAATGGGACCTCGGGACAGATGTGGGCGCCGTTCATGACTCCTGAGACCTCGCTGGAATTCTACAGTCCTGAGGCCTGCCGGTAATGGCTGGGACGTTCTGGGGCCTTCTGGGCCTCTTGGGCAGCGGAAATCGGCTTTGTGGACGCTCACAGCCCAATCGAGTGGCTTTTGGCGTGCGCTTGGGAAGCAGTTTGGCTCTTTGTGTCTTTGTTGGCCCTTGGCACTGTCCTGAATTCTCCTCGGTTACACCATGAAGAGCCAAACTCCTCATGCTGCTTTGGCAGGGCCCAGAGAGGCCCCTGGCAGCACAGTGCTTGGCATGCTGGTGGCAGGCAGGAAACCATCGGGTCGCGGGGGGCTGGGAATCAGGCAAGCCTGGGCTCCCTGAGGCGTCTGTCCGGCTGCCCTCACGTCCACTTGGATGCTGAGACCTCTAGATGCCTCTCCTGCAACCCCTGCAGGCTCCAGAGCGTGGCCTCAGAGGCTTGCTTGGGGCTGACGGATTCCAGGGGCCCCAGCGCAGGTGAGACTAGACCGTGGACCCTAGAGCCCGCCTCCGGGTGCTGCCGGCACTCGGCTCCATTCCAGCCATTCTGGAAAAGTCCTTTAGTTGGGGATTCACTGATGTGAACTCGGACTCGTCTGCCTTCCCAGCAGACCTCTGTGGCGGCTGGCTGTGTCAGGTGCTGCGGACATGGCAGGGAGGGCATGGGCGCAGTCCCGGTCCCCCAGAGCCTCTGTCCTGCCGTGGGGACTCACGCAGACCCACCCGCAGGGCAGTGTCAGAGGGCCCGAAGTTCCCATGCTGTGTGTGCGTTCACTTTTTAAAAATTAGACACTTCAACCCAGAGCAGAGTAGCAAGAGGGCACCATTTCACTCAGGTTTGGGAACGGTTTCTCTTTGGCCCCACGGCCCCGTCCCGGGCCTTCTCCATGCTTCAGTGGGTGTTTTCTGAAAACAAGGACGTTCTCTTGCGCAACCATGTTACCATCACCAGCCGCGTAACACTATTGTCTGGGCCCATGCTGACTATTCCCAACGTGGTGCCCGTCCCCGTTTGCAATCTTTCAAGTGGCTGCGTTAAAAAAAGCAACAAGAAGTAGGTGACATCAATTTTAATGATAGGTTTTACTTGACTCCCCGTATCCAAAATATTACGGTTTTGGTGTGTAAACAGCGTCCCATGTTACTGAGATGTTTCACATTTTTTTGGTATCCAGCTGTAGGAATCTGGAATGTATTTTGTGCTGACAGCACGTCCCACCCACACGCGCCCCGTCCAAGGGCTCTGGAGCCGTGTGCCAAGTTCGAGCGTAGAAGGGCCTTTGAGAAATACAGCAGGGTGCATCGGGTGGGGGGTGCGCTGCTGCAGCCTGCGGAGAGGTGACCGCCGAGTCACCACCGTTGTGAAGAACTGCAGTCTGATGTGTGAACATCGAGGGAAGGGCAGACGGGGCAGCAGATACAAAGGCCCAGGGGCAGGAGGGAGCACGTCTGAGCAATCGCCGGGAGGCCCGTGGGGTGCAATAAAGGGCAGGCAGGGGCTGGACCTCATAGAAGCTGCTGGGCCATGATGAGGTTGATGGATCTTGTTATAGATGAGACTGGAAGCAATTGCAGTTTTAAGTGGGCACATGATATACTCTGTTCTTGTTTTAGAGCACCATCTGCTTGCAGAGAACAGATGGGCGTGGGCGGGGACGCAGGGAGAGCAATTAGCAGGCTGTTGCGGTTCCCGGGGAGAGAGAGAGACGGTGGCTGCTGGGCTCCGGGGGCTGGCAGTGCCCGTGGGGAGAAGTGGCTCAGCTGGGGTTACCTTCAGCAGGACCGGTCTAGCCACCATGTTCCGGGTGTCATCCTCCCTTCCCCCCGTCTGTCCCCCGCAGGTCCATGACCCTCATCTACAAGGAGTCGGGGACGTTTGAAGGCATTCCCACCTATCGCTTCGTGGCCCCCAGCACCTTATTTGCCAACGGCTCTGTCTACCCGCCCAACCAGGGCTTCTGCCCGTGCCTGGAGTCTGGAATTCAGAACATCAGCACCTGCAGATTCAGTACGTGCCATCTCCGGTGGGAGGGCGGGCGTGAGGACGCACTGCTCTGTCCCTCCGCGGTCTGCCTTATCTCTGGCCTCTTTACTCTTCATAATCCCATTAGGCCAGAGAGAAGGAGGGCAGCAGAAAGAATTTGAAAAGAAAAAAAAATGCTGTGTAGATGACTTGCCGTTGTCATGGATTCCCATAACCTTAGTGGCTTACAGCGGCATAGATGTGTATTATCTTAAACAGTTCCGAAGTCCCACACAGGCCTAGGGGCCAGGCGACGGCAGGCTGTGTTCCTCTCTGGAGGCTCGAGGGGAGGTCCGTGTGTTTGCCTTCCTGTGGCCATCAGAAGTCCGTGGTTCCCGGCCTCACTGCCAGCGACACCCCATCTCTCTGATCCGACCTCCGTGGCCTCATCTCTCCCGCTTCCCCCTTCTAGTTTAAAGACCCCGGAGACTATATCCGCCCCCCCCTCGCCTCCCCCCGCCCCGGGATAATCCAGGCCACGCTCCCTATTTTAAAGCCAGCTGAGCAGCTTTGATACCACCTGCAGCCTTCCTTCCCCGTTGCCGTGGGACCAGACGTTTTCACAGGCCCTGCAGACTGGGATGCGGCCACCTTTGGGGAGGGCCCCATTCTGCCTGCCGCACCTTGAGGATGTGGCTTCGTAGGAAGGGCCTGTTCCCTGTTGGGAGGGAAGGAAGCGGCCAACGGTCCGGTCGTTCCATAAAGTCTGGTTGGGCGGGGCGGGGTTGCGGGGTGGGGTGTGAGCCGTGGTGCTGGCTGGCAGTGGCCTCTGGCTTCGTGGCTTGAAGCTCCGTGCCTGTCCCCAGGATGTCCGCCTCGGTTGCTCGATTTGAGCACTCGACTGTCACCCGCAGGGCCCTCCCCTGGCCCTCACCCAGCGTATCAGCAAGCCCACTGGCTCTGCCTGCAAAGGAAGGCAGTCCTTCCTCCCTCCCTTTACCCCGCCTCCTGGTGGTCCCGGCCCCTCCCGTTGGCCCCCCTGTGACATGGCCGTCACCCTCCGCACCAGCTGTTCCCCAGACTGTCCAGTGCGGTCACCACTGGCCCTGGGGGACCATGTAAATTAAAACTGGTTTGAATGCAATCCAATTAGAAGGCAGGGTCTTAGTCACACTGGCCACATTTCAAATGAGCAGCACCCGCATGTGCCTAGTGACTTCTGTATGGGATGGCCAGCACAGAGGGAGAGCATCTTCATCAGGGTAGAAAGGTCTTTGCTTCAAAGTTCTCACGGCTCCCCCATGCACATACAGTGAAGCCCTCAGCGTGGTCTCAGTGCTCTGCAGGATCTGGCCTGTGCCGGCCTCTCCAATATCATTTCTTTCTGTACTTCCCCCACTAACTAGTTTTCAGCCCCACGACCTCCCTGTTTCTAGAGTATATCAAGTTTGGTCCCACCTCAGGGCCTTTGCATCCACTGTTCACCCTGCCTTGAGAGTTCTTTCCCCAGATATCCATGTGGATCTGTGTGGCTTATTCCCTCCCTGCCTTTTGATCTATTCCGGGGCCACCTCCTCCAGGAGGCCTGCTCTGATTTCCCATACTAAAGTTGTCCCTTCTTCCCCCCTCCCCCCTTCCACCCCTGCCAGCTTCTCTCATTTCCCCCTTTATTGTGTTCTTGGTGCCCATCACTCCTCGAAATCACTGACTGCGTATTTTGTTTTACTTATTTATTGTCTGTGTTTTCTCCCAGACTGTAAATGCTGTTGGCAGGGCTCTGTCCTCAGCTGCTAGAATTGTGCCCAGTACGTAGTATTTGAATGTATGGGTGTGTGGGTGTACCGTGCACTTAGAAAATTGAGGCTCAAGGCTGGACATGCCCGAGGTCACATGGTGGATAGGACGAGAAGCCACTGTTCAGTCGACTGGGTCTTGCCTTCTGGGGGCCTGTTTGGCTGAAGCCGTATGTCCAGCTGGAGATGGGGATTCGAGAGGGGTAGTTTGCAGCAGGGCTGGGGGGACAGACTGTCAGGCTGGACGACTCCCCAAGCTCAGGCAGAATGGGGTGTTCTGTAGGTGAAGGGTTTGGAGCTGGGGCCTGGAAGTGCCCTCCCTGTCATGGCTTTGTATGACCCACCTGTCCTTGCCCTCTATTTAATTCTCCCCTCCCTGGGGTCTCTGGGAATTTCTGCTTGCAGGATGGGATGACGGTGCAGAGACCTGCCTGGCTGTGTGCTTCTGTTGCTGGGCCAGGGGAGAGAGCTGCTGCAGCCTAAGCCCTGAAGGGCATGCCCTGGTTTGCGTGATGTAAAGTTCCAGAGTAGATTCTTGTATTAGGCACGGCTCCAAAGCTCAGCTGTTGTGGGAAGCTGCTTCTCACTCCGGGTGCCAGCTCAGTTTTCTTCTGGGCTGGCTTCGCTGCCAGGCAGGCTCTCCCCTCTGGCTCCAAGGCTCCCCTCTTCCTCTCCCGGGGTTCCTGCGGGAGGGGCTCACCTGGGACCTCGTCACTCCAGCAGGTGCCCCATGGTTCACTCTGATTGGTTTGTCTGGCATCCCATGGCCAGCTGTGGACCAATCACCGTGGCCCAGGGTGATGCTGATTGGCCAGGCCGTGTCACACGCTCCGCCCCTGATTCCGTGGGTGGGGCTAGCCCTGGCATGGCAGGTTCCAGAGTTGGGGTGTGGGTTCCAGAAGGAAGAGTGGGTGCCAAGCAGGTGCAAGCTCCATGTCCATCTACTTCAGAGGGCCAGGGATGAGGTTTGCTCTGCCTCATCTTAGCACATCTGCCAAAACAACTTCAAAAGTGAGGGGGAATTTTATTTTTATTTATCTTCTAAAGATTTATTTATCTATTTTAGAGCGAGAAGGGAGGGGAGGGGCAGAGGGAGGGGGAGAGAGAGTTACGAGCAGACTCTGCGCTGGGCACAGAGCCCGACGCGGGTCTCGATCCCGCAACCCTGAGATCATGACCTGAGCCAAAACCAAGAGTCCGTTGCTCGACCAACTGCCCCACCCAGGCGCCCCAAAAAGTGCAAAGGAATTTTCAAATATTTATGTAAAAAATATTTTTTCTTTTACGTGGAACTAAACACATGTACGGAGGGGTGTCCAAAGGACACGTGCAGTTTGAAATTCCACAAGGGGCCCACGTCCCTGTCACCAGCACCCGGATCGAGAACCGGGATAGGAGTGGCCCCGGATACCCCCAGGGCCTCTCCCAGGCCCTGGCCTGATGTCCAGCAGCACAGCTTCGCCTGCCTTTGGTCTTTATGTGAAAAGAATCATACAGCGTGCGCTCCTTTTTTTCTCTCTTTCTGGTCTCTTCCACCCTTTATTGCATTGGTGAGGTCCGTCCGCCCTGGGGCTGTTGTTTGCTGTATAGTGTGCCTTTGTGGGAACACACCTTAGTCTCCTTACCTCTTTGCCATTCACGGGCAGCCGAGTTCCTATCTTTTGAGCATTACCGTAGTGCTGCTGGGAATGGTCCTGTCCCGTCCTTCAGTGCACCTGTGTCCGCAGGTCTGTGACCTTTTGTCTGAAGATAAGGAATACCATACATTTCCCTTTTAGGGCCTTGAAGATTTCTTGGACCTGGAGGACTCTTGCTTCTCAAACTTTGTGCTGCTCAAGGCCCTCAGATTTGCTCGACGGACCTCAGCATCATAATCTGTGGTGACCCTGGGCAATTAGATCTGGTTGGGCGTGCCATAAAGCTATAAATTAATGACCACTTATTACCCATGCTGTTTGGAAATAAAATAGAGAGGAATGCATGCATATGTGCTTGCTGTTAAAAGAACAAGCGACAGGCGTGCTTACTGTCTGAAGCAAGGGTCAGGTGATGGACATTGGTCTGACCCACTTCAGGTGCCTCCAGCCTGGGAGGCACACTGGGGCTCCTTGGAGATTTGCCACCTTTGAGGGCCTGATGTGGTGACCACACCTTACTGAGGGTCTCAGTAAACACGGGGGTCCTCGTGTTCGCTCTGGTAGTCTCCTTTCATAGCAGAAATGGGAGGATGGGAAAGGAGGTTTTCCAAATTGTAGGACATTGTCCCTGGGGGTGCTCAAGGTAACTTCAAAGGTCTAGGAGGTGGCTTTAAATGACACTGACTGACTTGGGAGAGAGGGTTTCTGTTTTCCCATTCCATTGCCCTTCTTGCAGTTAACCCCAGGAAAGAGTCTCTGTTGATGCTAAGAGACCTTTCCAGCACCCACCTATCTTTCTTTTTAAAAGATTTTTATTTTTTTATTTATATTTTTGAAAGATTTTATTTATTTATTTGGCAGAGAGAGAGAGAGAGAGAGAGCACAAGCAGGGGGAGGGGAAGAGGGAGAAGCAGGCTCCCCGCTGAGCAGGGAGCCCGATGCGGGTCTCGATCCCAGGACCCCAGGATCATGACCTGAGCTGAAGGCAGATGCTTAACCGACTGAGCCACCCAGGTGTCTCAAAAGATTTTTATTTTTAAATAATCTCTACACCCAATGTGTGGCTTGAACCTACAACACCAAGATCAAGAGCCGCACACTCCACCGACTGAGCCAGCCAGGCGCCCCTATCTTTCCTTTTAACCGAAAAGAGCGGGTCTGGGACTCAAAGCTCTGTGCGGGCAATGGGATCTAGTTAGAATGTTCAACTTTTGTGGTTTCCATTGTATTTATTTCTATATTCAGTGTCTTCTTGTGGCAAGTGTGTGCTGAATAAATCAATGTCAAGAAAAATGAAGGCAATGTAAAAGTACTCCAGGAAAGATGAAATCAGGAGGCAATGAGATCCCAGCTTTTATTTCAAACCGGTGTTTGGTTTTGCCAAGAAAAGTGGAAAGAATCTAGATTTGAGGCTGCCAGACATACATAACATGGTTGCCGGTCACCTGGCAGGTGGTGGACGTGCTGTTGGTTTTAGGGAAGGAAACCTTGTGTGTTTTGTTGTCATTTTTCTTTTTTTTTTTTTGTTTTGAGGTACAGTTCACATAACATAGACTTAAGCATTTAAAAATATACAGTTCAGTGGCATTTAGTACATTGACAATATTGTGCACCTACCGTCTCTGTCTAGTTCTAGAACATTCTGATCCTTTCAGAAGGAGAGCCCATACCTGTTAGCAGTCACTCCCTGTTAGCATCTCCCGTCCCCTAGCCCCTGGCTAGCACAATGTGCGGTGTTTGGTCTCTAGGATTTGCCTGTTCTGGATCCTTATGGATTTTTGAGAGAGGCTCATTCTTTTCCTTGTTAACTCATTGTCCATCAGGCCTTTTGTTCGTGGTCCTGAGCACATGAGGATGCGCTGGCATTTGCCTTGCTCGGTCAGTTGATGGAGAGGTTCGGCCTCATGTTTCTGGGTGTGAATTTCTCACACAGAGGGGCCTGAGTCAGCCCCTGTTCACACCCGCTGGCATCCATCCTGCAGAGCGGCTGCTGGGAGAGAAGGAGCAAAGCAGGTGTGTCTTCTCCCTTCCCGTGGATGATAGGGAGACCTGGCCGCAGGTGTGCACACCTCAGCATCTCTGACAGCTGCCGCATTGCCTGCAGAAGACAGTCTGGACTGCTTGGCTTGGCCATCAAGATGCCCCTCCCCCGCCCAAGTTCAGATCTGGCCTCGACTTACCTTTGTATCCTCAACTCCCATAATTCGCCTCCACGTACTCTCTGCTCCACGTGCACTGTGCATTTCCCCATCTCCCCGCCTTTGCTTCTGCCAAACCTTCCACCTGGAATGCCGTTCCCTGGCCTTCCCTGCCTGGCATAGTTTAACCATCTTCCCTTCCTTCCTGTGATCTCCCCCACCCGAATCAGCAGCTCCCACACGACCACTTCTGCTGGCACAGAGCTTGTCCCTTCCCAGTGCCTGGTGTCTCTTGGGCACTCGGTAAACATTTACAGACTGGATGAAGGAATTCTCTCTGTCTAGGTATTGTTGTTTGCATCCTGTCATCATTTGGGTGCTCTGCAGGCTGTGGCCCTGCTCCGTCATCTGTGCATCGCCCTGGGCCTGGCACGACGCAGGCCTCTGGATGTGCCCGTGCTCTCCCTTGTCTGACGACCCCCTCTCCCCCCGCCCGCCTTCTAGATGCGCCCTTGTTTCTCTCCCACCCTCACTTCTACAACGCCGACCCAGTGCTGGCAGAGGCGGTGCTTGGCCTTCACCCCAACCAAGAGGAGCATTCCTTATTCCTGGACGTCCACCCGGTGAGCCCCTGCCTGTTAACCTGTGGGGGGTAGTGGGGCATTTCCCATTGGTGCCTCCGTGGCCCCCTTCTCTCTGCTCCCCTCTCCTGCCCCTGTCAGGCACTGAGCTATTCCAGGGCGGAGGTGATAGGAAGCCTGGCTTTCCTTGGCATCGACAGCTTCTAGAGTAGCAAGTCATCAGAGTTCCCTACTTTGCCCTGACTCCATGGTTGAAGGAGTTCATAATCTCTTTACAAGGGAATCGTCTTTATTAAAGGACCATAAGACAGTAAATTAATTAGAATTATCAGTCTGCAAATTAGCCAGAGGAGCCCTCTGGCTGTACCAATGTATCATAAAGATCTTTAGGTCCCGACAAGAGCCTGTGATATCTTGCAAATAAATTGGGTTCTGGGGAATTTGTCCTCTGTGACATTCTGTCTGCAGGTGGCAAATAAGAAGGTGGCAGACCCACGCACGTAGTCCTCCTGCGGGCCTGTCTTCACCTGGTTGTCTTATCTTTTCGTATCTCTGCCACTGTAAAATGTGCCCGTTTGGACTCTGTGGCCTTTGCTGTTGATTAAAAAATCCTACGGGTTTCTGTTGCCTGAGTGGACGCTCATGGTCTTGCCCGCAGGCCTTTTTCAGAGCTCTTCGACGTTCCACGTCGTTTTTCTGTGTACTCAGATTTTCTGAGCTCCTGACTCGACCCCACCGGCCCCTGGCACTCCACCATGCCCTCCTCTCTCTTTTCACTAAAAACCCAGGCTAGTTAAGTTGACAGTGACCTCACACACTTCACATCCAGCAGATATTGGTCGCACACTCATTATGGTGCCGGCATGAGCTCGATACTTTCACACGCGGTAACTCAGTACACACTCACAATGATCTGGGGGGTGAGCACTGCTACTCCCATTGTACAGATGGGGAAGCTGTGGTCCAGACAGGTCACATGATAAACTCGTAAATGGGATTGTTGACTACACAGAGGAAAGGTCCCTTCTGTCTTGTTCGTTGCTTGGATTCCAGCATTTAGCCCAGAGACCCTAGCATCTCAGTAGGTATGAGCTTGATAAATGACCGAGTAAGTAAAGAACAAAGCTGAATTCAAACACGGGCTAAGATCTAGTTAATTTTAATGAGGTTGATACTAATTAATTAAATTGATAGCATTTAATATTAATATATTGTGTGTTCCACATTAAGTTCATTCTTTATCGCTAGAAGTGTTAAGGCTTTTCCATGTTGTCTTAACATTTTAACCAGTTTTTAAGAGTTTTTTGTTTTAAAGCTAACAGGGTTGTCCACCTTCTTCTTCTTTTTTTTTTTTTTAAAGATTTATTTATTTGAGAGAGCGAGAATGAGAGAGAGAGAGAGTACATGAGAGGGGGGAGGGTCAGAGGGAGAAGC